CATGTCATATATAGAAGTAAGTGTATATAAGGGAGTGTTTCCAAAATTGGAAAGAGGTGGGTGGGGTGCCACTGTGTTTGATTCATTACCTGAGCAGTATCTTACCAAATAGCTTGTCAATATCAGTAATTTGAATTCCTAATTTGTAAAAAACTATAGACTTAGTATTTTGACATCACAAAATCTAATTTGAACCAGTGCTGCATTCAGCATACCATGACACACAAAAATTGATATTTAGCTGTATCTTTTTAAATTTACTTTTAAATTAAGAAATTACCTAATGTATAATACTAAAATTTGGATTATAATCTACAGTTTGATACTAAACTTATTGGCATAAATTCATGAAATAGTAGTTCAATAAAATATTGAATGCAAGTCAACTAATGAGAAGACATGGCCTTTGACCCTTGTCCCATGTGGGAAAGGTTAAGAGTACAGAATAAAAAGACGGCGTTGTTTCAGTTAATACATCTAATTAGACATAATTTATAGAGATTATTTTAACAAACTTCTGTGTCTGGTAGGAAGCAGTGAATAATAAACTGACTTAATTTTCTAAATTTTAATTCTAGACAATAATCATGACTGAGCCATAAGTTAAGGAAGCCAGTGAAAATGTATAATATGTTTGAGAATGATTAAACACGACTTGCAGAGTAGTTCTTGTCAGTAGTAAAATAATTTAAATTTCAAGTTTTAGTTTTAACAAAAATGTCTGATCATGAAAAAAATACATGTATGATGATAAAAATTACTGTGTTACTAAGTGATCTGTTGTAATTTTTTAATTGATAAACTACTAAGTCTCAATCAGTAGCACAAACAATTTAATTTAAGGTGAGAGTGGAATTCAAAGGTAAATGCAAGAAAATTGAGAATAAAACAGAAAAAAGTAAATGTCCAAATACAAGTTTTGACAATTTAGTTTTCTCCCTTAAAATATAGTCTGTCAGATTTCCCTGTATTTTATTTTCCCTATTCTATAATAATAAATTCTTTAAAATATTTTTAAAGTAACACATTTCAAAAGTTTTTAGTATATAATTGATCTTTTTATAGTTTTAGGATCACCTAAACCAAAGGAAAAGAAAAAAAAGAAGAAACATTCTCTTGGTGTAAGTTTTGTTGGCAGTGCATTTTTTTTATAATTTATGAATTAAATGTTTATTAAATTGCTGGTCAGGTATTAGAAACTGATGCCTGCAGAAGTGAACATTGTGGACTTTTTTATATTAATGTGTGTGTGTTTGATGAGATAGCGAGTAACTAGACAGAATGTTGTTTTTACTAATTTTGTCTTCTCCTTTTTAAAATGTTATTAAAAAAAATTACCTTTCCTTATATTTGTATTCATTGTTTTGGTTCCTATAAATATTTCCTTAAAATGACTTTGGCATCGTACAGTCATGGTTTCAGATGATGGATAATAATGTGGTTCTTGAATTATTGAAGTTCTTATTAAATGTTTGAAGCTTAGAATGTTTCTATATGTAATGCAAGTTTACAAAGTTTAATAATTGTTAGTTCAAAATTAAATTAGGTTTTCATATTGTTACAGGTAACAACTCCACATTTGCTGTGTTTGATAGTATTCATCCTTAAGGTGGTGTTTTGCATATTTGGTCATTGAACATTATTTATAAACTTAAAGCTTAAGACAAATATTGTTGAAGTGGATTTTTGTAATACTTTGGAAGTAGATATTTTAGGTATAGTTTTAAATAATTGTACACTCTTTATGTATGATTAGTAATACTCAATATTTTGACTAGAATGTTCAGATTAAACATTTATATGGTTATCTGTATCTCAGTATGCTGAATGTGTACTATTGCAGATATATATAAAAAATTTTATTCAGGTTTTGTGCATAATCATAACACTGAGAACTTCACGCTTTATGATATGCTGTTTTATTATATAAAGTAACATTCATTTGAAGAGGAAGAAAAAATGGATTTAAAGGCAAATATTTCATCTAAAAAACTAATTTGTTGTATACCTTTTAAACATTTGTATTTTTTTTTAATACGTTTCTATATTTACAGAAACAATAATGAAATGTTTCTTGTCAAACTCCATGGTTTATTTATGCTGGGTGATGTAATTTTATCTGTTATTGGTCTTTATCAACACAAACTTGTCTTTTTTTTTGTTCAAATACCGAGTATGTTAAAGAAGTTTTTCTCACACACATAGGAATTAAAGTTAAAATATAACTTTCTAATAAATGGTTTATACACTTAAACCTTCTTAAACGTAAACTACGTTGTCAGTCTGCAAAATTGAACAGCCTTTTAGTGTTCCCAACCCCATAGGCTTATAATTTTGGCATGTTTCTTTCTTATTGGTTGAGCCCCTGCCATTTGTTCAGAATGACCTACAGGAATCCCTCGATCATAATGCGGTTAATGTGTTCTTTAAAAGAGCCGCACTAATCGAATATAATAACTTATAGGAAATCATGTAATTCGTACCTCAATTTTCATTCTTATTCACAATTAATTTCTATTTTGCGTATTTTTAAATCAAAGTATAGGTATATAAGAAAATACGAAAAAAAATGCAATGAATTAAAATTTATTGATCTGATTTTTTTATGAAAAACTTATTTAGAGTGGCTTGTCGCATCGTATTCTTCTGTTCTTCATATAATTGGCGGTACTGAGAAATTGCCTCATCAATTTTTCTGCAAATTTGACAGCTTCTATCCTCATCAAGGTCTGTTTCTAAACATTTTCCCTTAAATTCTTCAATAACCATGAAAAGTTTTTCTAATTCCTTCTTCGTCATCTTCTTATGCTGGCGGGTAGGTAAGATTTCTTCACATTCATCAATGTCTTCATATGCTCTCTGAGTGTCCAAATTTATAAGATCCTTATTGGTTAGTTCTTCTGGATGAGCTTCTAGCAATTCTTGCACATTTTCATCGTCAATTTCAGCAAAGCCAAGTTCTTTTCCAATATGATTAATCTCTTTAATGTCCTCTTCTGTATCTTTTGAAAAGCCTGTGACGT